AACCCATGGAGATTTTGAGGAAAAAAATCATTTCCTCCCAAAAATCCTCAAATTTCTGTGCCTTTCTGACAGCTTGTATCATAATATTCTAATGAATATGCTTGTAACGCTTCTGATATGATGTAACATTGATTAATAAAACTATGGATTATACAATATATATTTAAATTATGGTGGAATAATCCTGATTCATACTCTGCATAAATTTGTCGTTTAAAGTAGTTGTCATGCAACAAGATTATCTGCCATTCATATTTTTATATTTAACTGTTGAACTTGGCATTTTCTTGTCTTGCTAGGTCCCAGAGTATCTTCACCATGTTAATAAACGTTTAGAAGAAGAAGGAGACAGAGTAATAACATATTTAGACCATAGCACACAGTGAGTGCAAGCTTTGTTGTTCTTGGTATAAGTCAAGCATCCTTTATTCAGTGTGATTATCCACACAGGTAGCGAAACAGAGATTATTTCCATACTATTTTACAAACATTTTGTTGACAGTGCTTCTAATTCAGGTTTGTTTTGTTCGTTTTTAGTGGGAGGAAATAAACCTTTCCGGAAAGATGTCTCAGTATAAAGTAAAAAGAGCAAAACCTTACGTAATAACCCAAATTTGCATTATCAAAGTAGTAGCCGTTCCTAACCGTTCACGTGCTGCTAATAAGCTTAACCACAAACCACTTGAAGGAAGGGAAGAGTCATTAGGCAAAATAGTTGTTAAATATTGACATAGGGTAGAGAGCAGGAAGTGTACTTATGGGTAGGCAGGATGTGGATTTACAGTAGATGAGCTTTGCTGTAGCTACTACCCCAGTATTGTGCAGGGCAGCTTGTTCTTTCTTTCACTTGGGTGTAAACTGGTGTGAGTTTTATGCTGGGATAAGAACACCTCAGGAAGGAGAGGTTTTCCTGACAGGCTATAAAACCACTTGACCTGCAGTAAGTTGCTGCCATATCTTTTTATTTAAGACCATAGCCAATTAGAATTGTCTTAGAATAACTTTTTTTTTTCTCCCATTTATCTAGATGACGTATTGGCATTAAATTCTATTGGTATTCTATTGAATGTTAAAAGGATAATATTGAATAAAAATCTTTTTAACTTACTAATTTTTTCATATGTGCATACATATATAATAACAGTGTGTAAATACAACACTAACACATGCTTTGTAGGTGTTGGTGCATATTTTAATACGAATCTTCTTTCTGCAAATGCCATTTGCAGGGTGCCTAGCTTTTTCAAGCAAAATCAGCCCCATTAAAATATTATAGAACTATTCCTGTGCATAAAGTTAAAGCGTATATATATAGGTATATATATTTGCTTACCATTTAAGTAAAAAACAAGTTGATTTATTATTTCTACTGTGTCTAGATATACAGGGGGTCGTTGCTTTGAATGTAGTCCTTATTCAAAGGCTGAAAACTTACTTTTAGAAGGCTTTGCATTAGTTTCATTTCCTTAGATTAAGAAAAAGCAATTCCTAAAGGTGCAGTCCTTGAGTTGTCTCCAGGTCACACTATCTCTCTGTGTATGTGTGAAGAGAGCAGTAAGGATGCTAGACTTGGTTGCTAGCTTGAACCGAGATGGAAGTGATACACGGGAGGTTTGTTTAGGCTGGCTTGTCAGCTAGCGATCAAGATGAAGTTGTTGCCTCTGTCTGTTTGCCAGGAAACAGTGCACTACTCAGTCTCAAGCAGAGCAATAATCCATACTTCCTACGGAGGTACAATATGTCTTCTAGGACAAAGGGAATTATTTAACCTTGAATCCTTCCAGTGTTGGAGAGAGCAGCTGTAGATGGCAGTAGCTGGATGTTTCAGGGTACATGCAAGTAAACATAAAAATGGCCTTACCTGTTCAGAATAAAGGTCTAATTAATATTTTGTGACTGCACAGGGAAAGTAAGAGTAGAGTAAGTATATCTGATACCATCCTCTCTTACTCTTCTAGCTTCTGCCTGTTTTGACCTCAGGTGATTTTCTGAACCTGATGTAGTTTTTCTGTTCGATATTACCTAGTGAATCTCTTTGAAATGCTGGTGACATCTCCCCTGGGATCCACACTAACTTTTCCACCTATGACATGGTTGGCAAGGAGCTCAACCTTGCAGTAGCCCCTGGATGATAGATCACTTTATTTTAAGCCTGGCACTTGATACTGCCATTTATGATGCCAGGCCTTGTGTTGGAAGGGGAAGTGATCAGTCAGTTCCTTTTGACTTTTCCTTTTGCTGACATATGGTAAACAATAATAAAACTGAGATCTAACAGTTATCCCCTTGCACTTTAGACTTTTTTTTTATTATTCTACTAGTCTGTAAAAGACTTAAAGCAAAACTTACTGTTATTTCTTGGTCCAATCTAAGTTGAATGCATCAAAGTATTTCACTGTTAGTGAAAGTAAGAAAAATTCAAAGTCAAACTTAAAGTGTTAGTGCATGAAGTGACGTGTGGTTCTAGTTCAGTTTTTACTTACATAACTGTATAGTACAATTCCACACAAGCTTGACTTGTGAAAATCACAAGTGTGTGTTTTATTGCTTTGATATTCAAGCTCTTGGGTTTAGTATTTTTCCAGTCAAATTCACTTTTTTTGAGACATTTTTACAGTTTTTTGAAAGCTAAGCTTCTCTTCTGATGGATAAGAATTTCCTTTTTCATACTGAAAACTTGTTTTATTACACACATGGTGTATTGTTTTCTTTCTTGACTTGTATGACATATGACACTCTTGTCATTAATTTGTGCAGAGCATAATTAAATACAATAATGAAATACGAATAATGAAAAAGAAATATAATAATGTAAGCTATTAACAAGTATGCTGCAATGGGTGGCTGTTTGCTTATACTCTAGTACTTCTAATATACTTTTCTTGCCTTATTTAGGAAACCACTGATTGCCTGCGTAGAGAAACAACTACTAGGAGAACACTTATCAGCTATTTTGCAAAAAGGTATATTTTTAAAAAATTAATATAATATGTTAAATAAAAGCTCCACAAACCTATGAGCCCTGATGGGAAGTTGGGCTAATGTCATTGCTAGGCCGCTCTTGATACCTTTGAAAGGTCTTAGAGAGGACTTTTTTTTTTTCTTCTTCTTCTTCTTCTTTTACTGAGTTTCTGAGCTTGGCCATTACTCCTTGATTTTTAAATACTTTGATATTTCCCTTTTTCTGCATTAGCTGTTTTTCAGGTGTTAAATTTTCTAGAAAATCATCCTTATATGTTTGTTTTCTTTACTGCTGCAAAACAGATGTATTTCTCCCAGCCCTTCCTACCTATTTCTGCCTTATCTTCCACAAATCGTGTTGACATTTTTATCATGTTGGCAGATGAATAGTTGGTTGGCTGAGGCTGTCCCATGAAAACCTGGTGTTCTGGTATCTTCAAGCTTCATTGTGTTCATGCTTGTTGATATTTTGAGGGTGTTATACATATCCCTTTCATTTCTTCCATGCCTCCTCCTTAAAGATAATTTTTTTTTTGAACCACATTAGGAGTAGGTTGTCCTAATGTTTTAATAAATCTGCAAAAATAAGCATGGTCACTTGATCCTAGCTATCCTTAACCTCATCATAAGCAAAGGGTAAAGATAATTAATTTTCTTGTTAATATATGTCAGTTTTGCTTGCTCATCTGTTCAAGTTCTATTTTAAAGTGATTTTTGTAATGGCACATTTGTTTATCTGTAATCAGCAAATATATGCATTTTTTTAATCTGAACTCTTTTTTGGTTTATAATGTATATTTGCTGTTCATGTAAATATGGAGAGAGTTGTGCATTTTTGTAGTTACTACATTGTAAGACTAATATTTTTGGATCAGCCTTCACATTCTTTGTTTGCACTTTTAAAATTAAGCATGTCTAACATCACTGAACTTGCATAACTTTTTGCATTCATTTGATCCAGGATACACTGTATCCATTTATAACATCCTAGTGTTCAGTGCAAGTAGAAGACGACGCTGCCTTTTGTAGTTTTGTTCCTTAGGAGAAGGCATGTGATGTAGTCAGTTTGATAAAGGGAAAAAAAAAGTAAAGCTTGCAAATGCAGAGTATGTATGAGAAACTCTTCCTCTTGTATTATTACAACTGCCATTGACTAGGTACTGGGTTATTTTTTTGTGAGTATAGAAACATTTTCCAAGCACTATAGTAGTGCTTTCTGGAACTTGTGGGATACCTTGTGTCAGAGAACTTTGCTTTTTTTCATCTGACAACTCTGTGACAGAATTTAAATCGTTCAATTAAGACAAATATGCCAGAGCATATGCCAGAGCAAGTTTAAACTTTATCAACTAGGTTGTAACAAAGCAGTTACTCTGTTTAACTGTTTTTCCTTTACCTGATCATTATGCAGGAGAGATTGCAAACTGAAAGGTGTTCTTCCTTCACTGAGTAAAACTAAAGGTCAGGTTGATCTCTGAAATAAGTAGGAAGTAACACTTGAATGCGGTGGCATGGGCATTGCTTAATCCTCTATTCAATGCCAAAAGAACATTGGTCACATCTATTCAAGACTTCAGTCTGTCTTCTTACATAATTTTGGAGTATATCTATCGCACTAATGTTCAAGTGTGTGTGACAGTTTACCTGGCATAATTCCTGAACATTGGTTGCTCTCCCAAAAAGGTAAATAAGTTATAACAGATAGTGAAAAATATTGTTAGTCTGAAGAATAAATTAGAAAATGGGGAAATTTGGCAGTGATTGGAAACCATTTGTAATCTACTACCATTTTAAATTTGCAATTCGCGAAGTATATTTTTTGTATGAAGTAGAGCACTGTCAGGTACACTGATGTACTTTGTCAGCTTGTGTAAAATGGAGCTTTCTGCATTTTAAACTGCTGTAAACCTTTGATGTCCTTCAATGTTAGTGAAGCCTCTGCCACCAACACAAGACAATGCATCTCTGATTACATTGGGACTAAATTCATCATACTCTCAAATATAAAAGTGTATAGGTAGTTGTGATATGCTTCAGATTTTTCCTTGAGCTTTTTGCTTCTCCATTCATTAGTGTAAGACCTATTTTCATTTAGAATGACAAAGGCAAAAACTGCCTGTAAGAAATTGGTAATCACATGCTAGTACATCAGCATGAGTGTCGCCTATTGCACACGTTTGTAATCCAAAAACGTGGCTCAGCGTGCCTCACAGAGGAAATCTTGCAAAGGATGCATCTTTTCCTACTTCAGATTTGGGACAGTTCCCTTAGCTTACTGATTTCTGATCTTCTTTGGAGGTTCTATGAGATCTCGTGATAAACCTGTATCTTCAAAATCAAGTGTTTTTTGTAAACATTCTGCAAAAGGCTTACACTCAGCAGCTTGTGGGTAAGGTACTTCAACTGAAGTAGTTTCGCTGTTTGAAATATTATACCATAAGTTACTTCAGTCGCTTTAAGTAAGGGGGATATGCTAACTGTGAGCACTTGCTTTCAGGAATTTTAGTCTTGAAAACATAACTATTGGAGTCTTTTGGGGTGTTTTGTAGAGATTTTTTTTCTAACTGTATTTACGAAACTATATTCAAATTTGCTTTTTTTTTTCTTTTTTTTCCTGATTTTATTTTTTAGGGCTTGATAACCTGCTTGATGAAAACAGAATATCAGATTTGACTCAGACATATCAGTTATTCAGCCGAGTAAAAGGCGGGCAGCAGATCCTTTTGCAGCACTGGAGTGAATACATCAAGGTATTTTGGAGATCTCTTACTACTTTCAAAATATATGCTATTGGCATATATTTACTCTGTCAAAAATGAACAATACATTGTTATGCTGTATGCATCAAAATGCTGTTTTAAGTAAATAAGGGGGCCTTTTTATCCCTCCTCAGTAAAACTTACTTGACAAGGCAAGTTGGCAATGGCAGCACTTATATTTGGATTTAAATTGTTGCTTGGAAGTTGTGTTCCTTATTTTGGTTATTTTGGTTTGGTTTGTTTTTAAATCGAGATGCATGCACATGTATTTAGAGTATGCTGGATTGTAGTGTGTATTGTGTTTCGGTTCAAACACGGTCAGGTAGTTGCATATCTGCAAAGCCGGTGGAACCTCGAGAGTCCTGCTGTTCTACTACAGCTTTGTAGTGCTACATGGCACCAATCCATGCCAGTACAGTTAATAAGATGAATGTTTAAGCTATTTCAAAAGGAATGTTCCTCTTGAAAATTATCCATTCCCAAAGTAGTTTCTGAGAGATTTCTGGTTTGTTTTGCGAGGCAGATATGCTAAGCAAAATGCATGAAGGATGCTGCCCCAGAGAATTCATGCTCTGGTGCTCTTGTAAGAGGAAAGCAATGAAGCTTCACACACGATATTTCTCTCTTGTGCTGATAAATCCTGACGTGGTAATTCTTTCCTGAATTCTCCATTTCTGCATATCTGCCTTCAGGGCTAAGTGTGCAGCATCAGTTCTTTTTAGACAGGACTTTTCTGTGTGCCCACATCTGGAGTGTGCAGCGCACGGCAGCAGGGAACAGTGTCCTCCGCACAAGCACCAAGATGGAACTGGCTTGGCAGCGTCGCGTAGTGTCCCCTGTGCAGTCTGTGGGTCTTTACCCAGCTGAGCCAACTGGACACAGCTCAGAAGAGAAGGTCTTTTTCCTTCCTTGCTCCCAGATCACAATCCTTGTGCTGCCTGTCACTCCATAGACTCTTTTCTGATCTATTTTAATGCAGTACCTGGGCAAGGTCAGTTTGTTCTCAGGGTAGTGAGTTAAGAGGGGTGTTTTTGCTGGTCCAAGGAAAGAAGCAGGAGCTCAGGCAGGCAGAAAACTCACAGAATCCCAGAATGGTTGAGGTTGGAAGGCACCTCTAGAAATCATCTAGTCCAACCCCCCTGCTCCAGCAGGGACACCCAGAGCACGTGGCACAGGGTGGCATCCAGGCGGGTTTGGAAGATCTCCAGAGAAGGAGACTCCGCAACCTCTCTGGGCAGCCTGTTCCAGGGCTCTGTCACCCTCACGGGAAAGAAGTTCTTCCTCACATGGAGATGGAACTAACTGTGTTTTAGTTTATACCCATTAATCTGTGGGAAGGGAGACCAGATCTCACCTTTCAGCAGCAGCAAACCACTAGGTTGGCTCATCAGGCCTTACACCTCAGAGTCTGACCCTTTATGGCTTTATTTTTAAGAAAACTTTTAATACATCTTCAGAAAGATAGAAAGTGTGTTCTGAGGATCAGAAAATCCTCTCCTTTCCAGTAACATTCTTTGTGCCAAAATATACTGAAATAGAGCTTTGGGAGCATAAATTTTAGCGTGTGTGCCAGTGTAAGAAAAAGTATATAAAGAGAGATGAAGTCCTGTGCTGAAGTTCTGTGCTCTATTGTATCCACCTTCTTATGATTTCAGACGTGTCACCTCACTCTCTGTTTGGGTGACTTTTGAACGTCAGTGATGGAGATTGTGAGACATCCAGATACTCTGTTAATGAAATGGAATTTGTACTAAGTGCAAGATACAGATGCTGAGCATGGCAACATTTGTCAACCTTATCTTTGTCTTGGTGCGCTCAGAACAATGTGTCTTGAGAACCATCTCAACGAAAGATTGCAGCTTATAATTAAATATTAAACTGGCAACTGAGTTTTTGAGGAATTTTCCCCTTTCTACTCAACTACTGTGGCTACACTTTAGTTTATGAAAATATGCTGATGAAATAATGTTCTGCTGTGCAGATGTTCCTCTTTCTCAGATTGGGAAGTGCATCATGCTGCCTAGGGCAGCGATCAATGCTAATAAGTCATTGGAAATTGTCCGACAGGTTGAAATACTTCCTTACAGGCTGTTTTGGTTCAATAGACAAATGGTATTAACATTTCTAATTTTAAAGCAGTAAACATAGGTACAATAGGTACAAAAAAGAGAGGAAAGTCTGGTTTCTTCTTCTTGCACAAGGGAAAAGCTTGTTTCACCTTTTTTTTTTTTTTTTTTTCCCCCGTATCCTTTATTGAGAGAGAGGAATCTTGGAGTTATGTTAATCGTAGCCACCTATTTCTGTCGATAGAGCTATCGAGTGGATTTAAGAAAAAGTTTTCCTTACTTAATGTTCTTGAGTCACTTTTCACATACTTTCTTTTTCATAAATCATGTAGTTCTGTATTTAACTGTAAATTTGTACATCATAGTTATGTCTACTGTGCATTTTTGTTTAGCTTTTGTCTTAAATGTATATAATTTTTAAACCAAACACTGATGTTTGAAATCCATTAATATGTCTGGGTTTTCATTTTAAACTTGAAACTAGGTAGTACTCTGAAGTATTTTATTATCAAAAGTGTTTGTTTTACAGAACTTTGGGACAACAATAGTGGTTAATCCTGAAAAGGACAAGGATATGGTGCAAGAGCTACTAGATTTTAAGGATAAAGTGGACCATATCATAGAAGTGTGCTTTCAGAAAAATGAGAAATTCATAAACTTGATGAAGGAATCCTTTGAAACGTTTATCAACAAGAGACCAAATAAGCCTGCAGAATTGATAGGTACACAAATATATATATATTTTTTCTGTAAAATATTTCCAAAATCTGTAGAAAGCATGGTAAGGTGCTGCTGCTGAGTGTGCTGGTGTAACAGGGGCGTGCAGGATGCCTCCCCTTGGAGGAGCCCTGCGTGGGGGTACAGGACGGAGCGGGGAGAAGAGTGGCTATGGCAAAAAAAATAAAAAAAAATAAAACTGGAAATGATTTTGCTTAGAGGCATAGAGGAGTTCTTCAGATAACATTATTTTGCACCTCTGTTGGAAAGGAGGAGGAAGTTCTGTCTCTCCCGGGGCTGAAGTTGGAAGAACAGCGGTTTTAAAAAGCCTCCTGATGTAAGGAGGTTGAAGAGAGAATTTACTTTTGAGTGCCCTAAAGAGAGCACTAGTGCTCATTAAGGCAGAAAATAATAGTAATAAAAATCCTATTTAAAAATACTGTTTTTGAGATTCTCTGATGTGGCTAAAGCTCTCTGGCTCTTATTTTTCATGCCACCAGTGAAGCTGTGGCAGTTTGCATTAGCAGAGGCTGTTGCTCTTAGGTTGTGGGTTTTTTAAAACCTCTGTGAATTCTTCTTGCCTATTTAGCTTACTCATTGGCTTCCTTATAAAACCAACTTTAAGAAGGATAAGTTGCATGAGCCGACTGATGTAGATTAAAGCCACAGTACGGCCTGCTATCATTTGTGGATCGTGATGCTTCAGCTGTTGCAGTGTTTTGCTCCTTACCCCAGTAGAAGTTGGTGTAGGGATGCTGGTGTGGCTTAAGAAATATTGAGCTTAGACTCCTGGCTTAACCTTATTTCTGGCATTCAGAAGCTACTAAGTTGAAAGCATTGCTTCTGTTTACATTGTGGTATGCCCATAGCGTACAGGGGAGCGTGGTAAAGGTCTGCAAAAAGAGAGTCCTTTGTGTTGTTTGTTTCTGTTTCTCATAAAATACATTCATATGCATTTTACAATTCCAAAACATTGTCTGTTAACAAGTAATGTGCTTGCAGTGACTGTACATAAAAACTGGGAACTTTTAATGTGTAAATTTTACTGCTTTTGTTTTATTCATCTTTTTCTTGGTCAGTTCCTTTTGTAATGTTTCTCCATTCTGTGCAGTAGTGCAGTGAGACTCTCTAATATCACTGAACGCAGAGATGGGAAAACAGAAAATGTAGCACTTAGACCATATTGCAATATGCAGATATTTTCAAATTGGGTTGGGGGCACCTGAGTTGGTGATTTTTTTAGAATGGTTGCTTTAAACTCCTAAACTTTTTTGTTTTATTTGTAGCGAAATACGTGGATTCCAAATTAAGAGCTGGTAATAAAGAAGCAACGGATGAAGAGCTGGAAAGGATCCTTGACAAGATCATGATAATATTCAGATTCATTCATGGTAGGGAATATCTGTTCACAGTTGCAATTTAAAAAGTTTTCATTGGTGCTACCAGAACTGTATTCCTCTGAATGTAAGAGCTTTCTTTTAGCAAGAGTTTCTGCTAGAAAAAGTCTGGAACTCAAGGTTGCATTGCGCTTGAAGAAGCCATACAAACGCCAGAAGGCAAATTTTGCCTTTGGAGGTTGTCAAGCTGGAGACCTTTTACGGTCCATGGGTGGAGAACAAAAATTCAAGAGGTAGTTGGTGAAGGTTTTTTTTTCCCACATAAATCACCTGTATCTCTAACCATAATCTCTCCACTAATGGCAGAGACAGAAATGTTAATGTAACTCTTTCCAGCCTATGCTTCTATACCTGGATGCAGAATATGTGAAATCCTAGCAATGATGATTTTATTCACTGTGGCTGAAAGTGCAGACAAAGGACTCAGAAAAGTTTACTGCTGTTTTGCTGCTTTTGAAATGCGCTTCTCTAAAACACCTCCCTCTGCAAGTAAAATCAGTTGTATCTGTAAGGAGGCTATTTTTAAGTTGAATAGCAGGAGAATGTATGGTAGCTGTATGCTCTTGTGAGGGAGGAGAAATTTGTGTCTTCTGCTAAATGTATTGTATTCCTTGTATGCAGGGATGCCCAATTGTTTTAATTCCTTATGGCCAGGAGCTCTTTCCTCACAAAATCCAAAATATGGTAAAGCAGACAAGAAACCAGTCCTGTTTGTTTGTTTATTTGTTTTTTGTCAAAGGTAAATAGTATTGGGTGGAGATAGCAAATGAATGTGGTATCACTGGGATCTTGTCAGGCTAAAAAAAAAAAAAAGTCAGTCTGAAGCTCGACCAACTGTTTTAGTATTTCTGGTCCTGAGCTAAAAGAAGGCACAAATTCACATTCACATAGCTGGTGTGTGGGAGGCATTTTACCGGCCGCCAGCGTGCGGTCGGTGTCTGGGCACAGGACGTGCTGGTAGTAGCTCGGCAGAGTGTCCTGAGGCAGCGCATGAGCGGCAGGAGGGACCGAGAGGGTCGGGGTGGGAACCAGGCAGGAGTTTCTTCCCCGGGGGGCAGTATTAGGTGTGGTGCAAGGCGCTGGCAAGGAGGCGGCGGGATTGTTCCAAGCGGAGCGAGGATTGCCGTGAGTTGGAGCAAATTTCTGCCCCTTGAGGGTGAAGCAACTTGCCGGTGTCCCTGCACTACCAATGGAACAGGCCTGGGGCAGCTCGGGTGTGCAAGCTCTGTGCATGCCTAGACTGCTTTTCTATTTCAAAAGATGACTGGCAAACCTGGCGAAAAGATTTCTGCTAGTTTTTGTTCATCTTCAGCTTTTGAAGGTTGCTTACTTAATACAGAGGAGCCCTTCTATTTTAATTTTGATAACACATTGGAGGAAAAATTTAACACTGGAGGGAGAACACTGTTTTGGACCGGGTCATGGCATTTGTTTTGCAACTGCTTTGGTGGGAAATATAAGGCGCACCATGTGCTCCTGAAAAGAAACAAACAAAAAAAAGACATAAAAAATTTGCAAAATAAACTAAGTAAATAATTCAAAGGTAGAAAAAGAGTACTTATCTATTTGTTGTGTAGGGAGTGTTGTTCTGCTGGCTGGTGTGTGAAGAAAAAGGATCCGTCTGCAAACCTGAAGTACAATGGTGCAGATAAAATGCCTGGTTCAACTTGTGTTTTAATTTTGTTTCAATTTCCGCCCAGGTAAAGACGTGTTTGAGGCGTTTTATAAGAAAGACTTGGCCAAAAGACTGTTGGTTGGGAAGAGTGCATCAGTAGATGCTGAGAAGTCCATGTTGTCAAAGCTTAAACATGGTGAGCATCTTTATTTGTGTTCAATTTTAATTACTTTTTGGCTTGTAAATTTGAATCCTTATTGTGCTTTAAAAGTGACAATCAGATTTTAAGCAATAGCTGAATATATTGTAACTTGCTGTTCTAAATGGGAGCCATGGGTTTGGCTTTCTGAAGCTGAGACTGGTTCATATAATGCACCTGCATGGAAGGAGAATATGTCCCTCGTTGCAGATGCTCTAGAAACTCGCAAACTGGGCTCAGCTGTCTCGGGTTAAGCCAGTTCTGCTCCTTCTGTGCCTGTTTGTCACTGTGGGATCTTTGCTTTCCTTTGTGTGACAGAATGTGGCGCTGCTTTTACCAGCAAACTGGAGGGCATGTTCAAGGACATGGAACTGTCAAAAGATGTCATGGTTCAGTTTAAACAGGTACATTAAATTCATGTGTGCTAAATGTTCAACTGAGATAGGGAAGAGCAAACTTAATTGATGAGTGTTAAACTTTTGTATTAGGTTAAGACAAGAGAACTTTGATCACCAAACTCTTGGATTCTATTTATAGTTCTATTTATAGAACAGATATTATTTATTGCATATCTATTCAGAGTTAATCTTACTTTACAGTTTTACTTGATTCCTTGTAAAGTAAACTAAAGGCTAAGCACTGTCAGAGTTAATCTTACTTTACAGTTTTATTTGATTCCTTGTAAACTAAAGGCTAAGCACTATGTAGTAATTTAGTTCTCTGTGACTTTTTTGAAGGCCATTTTCTCTTTTTCTGTCAACTGTGGCTTTGTGAGTGGCCCTCGCCAGAAAGGGTTACCTCGCCTGAGGTTACTAAATGCCCAGAAATGCACCTGTGTCTCGGGCCCCTCAGCTTCCAAACAGCTGGTGCCTGAGAGATGAGTTGGAGGAAATAGAGTACACGTGCTTGCCCTCCTATGTTTTATCCTGAGTGCTTGTTTCGTGGCCCTGTGAGGGATGGGATTTGGAGGAAGGGGTCTGACCCGGGACAACTGTTCTTGTAACAAAATCCCATGATGAGTTTTCTGTCGCGGACTGTGCAGCACAACTTAACTGATGCTGTAGCCAAATTGTGGGAAGGTGTGCTGTCTAGCAGATGTGTGGGAGTCTTAGGGCGTCCTTTTGACCTTACCAGGGCTTGTCCTGGTTCTGATGAGAAGTTTTTGTTTTGCTTTGTTTGTGCATGATTAAAGTTCTTTTGACCTCAACACAGTGGTTCAGTGAGTACCTTAACCCATGTTGTTCTGTTCTCGTTGCTTCCAGCCACTCGCTGTGTTTTGAAATGGCACTCTGGGTGTGTGGCATAAAATAGACGTGACATTCCAAATCTTGTTAGAGCAAATCAAGGGTGCGGCCTGTAGGAAATTCAATTTTTTCTACTATTTACATTTCTAACTTAAAATATATACATGTATTTCATCTAATATACATGTATATACATGTATATACATCTAATATATCAAGCTGGAGCAGCATCCTTAAATCATTTTTATCTTTTGTATTTTAGTATATGCAGAACCAAAGTGACCCAGGAAATATAGACCTCACAGTAAATATATTAACTATGGGATATTGGCCAACATACACACCTATGGAAGTCCACTTGAATTCAGAGGTGAGTGTTTAAATTCTCCTTCTAAATACTCTTCAGAGTGGAATCATAATCTCTGTCATAGGGTGAATGAGTGCCCTCTGATTAATTTTGCTCTAATAGGTACTGAAGATATTTACCTCTTCCAGAGATTTCCAAATTGAAAGGAAAAAAAGAAGTAGCAGCTGATAAAATGCATTTTTAAGGAATTACATTTCACTTACATATTTTTTCACCTTTTAAATAATTATAATCTAAAATTAATATTAAAATATGCCCTCTTACACATAGCATAGAATTTTAAAGTTCACTTTAATGTAGTCAATTTTTAACTTAATTGGTTGGGCATTTTGATACTGCTGAAAGCTATGTGACTATGAGCTCTTTTTTTTTTCCCCCCTAAGAGCTGTCCTTTATTTCCTTTGATGTGTGTCTCAGAAAACTAGCCTATGCATTTGACTGGCACTGGCCTGAAAGAAAAATTGTTTTCAAATTGACAAATTTTGCAGAGCTCATTTCAGCAGTTATGAAAAGAACCAAAAGTGAAATAGGCATTTGGAGCCCTGCTCCCTATAAATGCCCTGCTCGATCTGAAGCGCAGCAAGCCCTTAATCTGCCCCCATGGTACCTTTGCCTCAGCTGCAGGCTGGTTAGAAGGGATCCAGCCTGAGCAACACGTGGTAAAAATCAGGAGTAAAACCTCCTTCCTTGGAAACCTTTGGAGGGTGTTAAGTGATAGAATCAGACTTGGCGCTATCTGGAACAAACTAAGAGAAGAACTTGGAAGCAGATGGTAATAGTATACAGGTGGGAGGTGTCTGTTGAGTTTTCCTTTGTCCTGTGACTTCTTTTTCAGTTGCAAAGTCCAGCGGTGTAAGGTAGTACTGGGGTACTTGATAGCGGAATTTAGCCTTTTGTTTTTACGTTTCCACACAGAAACATTTATGAAACACTGTTGAGAAGAACAAAAGAAATCACATGTGTGAAGGCACCCATTGTTGCTGCACTGGAATAGCACTCATAAACTTTTGTCTCTTTGCTTGACAGATGATTAAGCTTCAAGAGGTATTTAAAATGTTTTACCTGGGAAAACACAGTGGCCGAAAGCTTCAGTGGCAGACCACTTTGGGGCATGCTGTCCTAAAAGCAGACTTCAAGGAAGTAAGTTTGCTTGTTTAATGCTTAAGCAGTTAGTATTAACTTTAAACTAGTTACTCGAAATCCAGTTGTGTTTTTGTTGTTGTTTTTTGCTAAAAGCAACAAAACTTTAATGGAAAAGCAAGTACTTTTTCGATCAAAACAAAATCCTACCTAAGTAAAAGAGCAATATGATGGTTTTCAGTAATAAATTTATTGGTTTGATACAACATGTTGTTCATTCAAGTAAAGGAAATGGTAATCAAGCAGGACGTTCCTGAAAGAAATGCAGAAATATCTTTTTTTTTTTAATATGGAATTATTTTGATTAAGTATTTTCATAGAAATACTGATGGCATTTTTAGAATGCTTCAGTAATACAAAAATACACGGGAGGGTTAGTGATGTAATGACTGAAGTCAAAATTAAAATGTTTGCTGAATTAAGCCTTAAATAACCATGTTGCTCCTTAACATGTTGTTCCTGTAGCTTTTGCTTTGTCTCATCAAATATTTTGCATTTTACTAATGCAGTTTAGCTAAACCAAAGCAAAGACAAAAAAAAATTTTTTTAGTAAGTCACTCTAAATTAGAAACCTAGAACCTGTGGCTTTGTGCTACAATAAGATATGGTTGTTGATTGGCAATAGGTAATTACTGTAGACAGCTCTTATATCTGTCTGAGGAGTTTGATCTATTTACCTCCTTTTCATTGCCTGTTTATACAAACATTGTGCTACAGGTAAACTATCACTGTATCAGTGAATCAAAGTGAGCTTTTGGTTCTTTTATGTTTGATCCGATCCTGAGATATTATGTGTCAGTTTGCTCATTGCCATGAGGTGAAGCTTAGGTGAAGTATGAACTAGAGATTTGCACTGAGAGTGGCAAAGCCAGAATTTCTTCTATTGTAACTAAAAGAAGAAAATGGGTGTGAGTTAAAAACTGGGCCATTCAAATGGCCTTATGGTGTGTGCTTCATTACTACTGGTAGACTAGCAAAAAAAATGTTCTTAAGAATATGCTCTTTTCTTGATATTGCATTCACATCTGTGTGATGGACATTCAAAAATATATGTTTTCTATTTCTCCAGAAATACATTAAAAAAACAAAAAGCTTCTGTAACTTGACAGAATTTTGAGATGCAATAAAAAATGCTCTAGATGGGACTTATTTGATATTTTCTCTTTTAGGGGAAAAAAGAATTTCAAGTATCGCTCTTTCAGACATTAGTGCTGCTTATGTTTAATGAAGGGGATGAATTCAGTTTTGAAGAAATTAAAATGGCCACTGGTATAGGTAGGAAAAGTGCTCTTGTGATTCTTAAATATTTTTGTTGAATGATTAATTACCAAATACGAGTCTGCATGTAAAGGCCACATTTTAAGAAGTTTGCTATGGTTATTCAGAGAAGCTTTATGAGTCAATGGTATACACATGCAGAAAGAGGTGAGTGAAACTCACTGGTGGAACTTTCTAATGCATAAAATAACGTTTCATAAAATTATTAGTAAGAGAGGCATAGCATGCCATTATTAACAGCCCATCAGTTTTATAAAATACATCACTGAAGTTCTTAAAATTCACATCAAGATAAAAATAGTTTTCTGTACAGATTGTTTTAGTTCTACTACAGTTTTAAATATTGTTTATTTTAAAATGATCTGTTATAGACTAGTGTTATTTTGGAGTGATATGAGAGAGAATGTTGAACCATTCGGAGAGGCTGTACACATATTTTCCATTAATGTTACAGGAGTGCCCCATTTGCAGTAGATCTCATTTGTTAAGAAAATAAGTGCCGGTGGGGAGTGTACTTTGTAGCTCTCCTTTTCTGCACTTTATATCTGAAGGTGGAAATGACCTAGGAATGATAAAATCTGTAGTCATCCTTTCATGCCTCTCCTCTCTGTGCTCTTTGATTATTTATTTTAATAATTTTTACTTTTCCTTGAAATTGTTGCAACTGTTAGCATTTAAATGGGGAAAAAATCCACCATGTCTTTACATCCTGGCACTTCTGCATCAACTAGCAGTTCATACCAGCAGCCCTTTCTTTGTCAAATCTTTGTCAAAGATCAGCCCACAAAACAACTGCTGAAAAAGTATGTGAACACACACACAGGTCCATTTTAGAGGATACAGCAAAATTCAGATTTACAAGATACTGTAAAATCCTCAGCTCAGCCCAGAAATGTACGTTTCCAAAGGCGTCAGTGTCCGGGTGCTCCGGCTTCCTGTCCTCCCAGCTTCAGGTTGCTTCGTCATCTGCTCCCTTGTGGCACCGGGGGCGGAAGAAGGTCCAGGGCAGAGCCACCGATAAGCATCGGGAGGGACTAGATAGGCTCCTTAGGTCAGGGTACAACAGGTGCAGAACAAGCAAATTCAGGGCAGCCTGATGCAGATCCTGGGCTCTTATCTCACATTACCTCAGGGCTTGTGTTCTGGCCGCCCCACAACGATAGATACAATCTGCTGCGTGGAAATTCATTCTATTGCAGTGCAATAAAAAGGATTTCAATAAACCGTTTCTAAGGCAGCTGGCTAGAATTGATTTCCTAATCTGTGCTATGATTGGGAGCGACTTGTGTTATTGCTTTGAGTGTTACATCTGTGTTTATCTTTTTATGGGTAAATAGCACGTGAATGCACCTGATGGGGATGTTCTGCGGCCCTCAGAGTTCCCTCGGGCCAGGATGGTTCCTGTTACTGGATGATCTTTTTGCTCAGTGGTACCCTGCCAAAGGCACCTATCCCAGCTAGCTGGAAAAGGACAGGTAGTTTTTAAGAGAACAGCTGAATATGTGATTCAGCTGCCTGGCAAATTGACTGCTGGGAGCAGTCACAGCTGGATTCAAGAGAACGCTCAGAAGAACCAGAGGTCCATGGGTACAAGTAACATAGGACCCGTAGGGCAGCATTTATTAACATGGAATAAGTGTGTTTTGTTTGTTTGTTTTGTAATGTGGTAGAACTGGGAAGCATTCAAATAATTAGGAGCAAGGATTGAAGATGTGGATCAGCTTCTCTGGAAGGAACAGCTAAGTATGTTAGGACTAAACTAAGTAGACTAAAAGGTAGACAGAAATTGGTGAATAAGGATTCACTTCCTTACTCAGGGAAGAACTGGAGGATACTAAATGAATCAGGCAGATGAACGGTGCAAACTGAATGAGAGGGGTTTCTTGCACAAAAATGGTAAGCTGTGCAGCTCTCAATGACAGCATGTTAGGGAACCTAGAAGTTCACAGGGCTCAAGGGGGCAGGTTCAGGGAAGAACAGGGCACTGAAAGTCCCTAAGTGCATAGAAATCATCTCTGGCTTAGGCATTTCCTGAACCTTAAATAACTGGAGACTTAAAGAACAGTAGGTTGAGGAGAGAAGAAACATCAGGAGAGCATCCTGTATTGTCACTAGTCTGGATGGGCCTCCTGACTGAGGATGTCCCCTCTTCATTTCTAAAGACTGGGTTGTTCTGAAACTCCCAGTTCTGAAGAACTGTATCTAATCCCACCCTTTTACCTTGGTATTTATGTGTACCAGGTCTTTCTGGGACCATATAATTTTTATTTAATTGACAGATTTATTCTGAGCCCTAGCACTCTTTGCACAGTGGTGTTTACTGCAGAAGTGTTCAGAATGCCACCCCATACCATAATTTAGGGGAAAAGAGGGAATAATATGTCTCAAGTTGTAATATCTTTAAAACAGGACAGTAAATGAAAGGGTGAATTAGACCACCACCATCTGATAGTACTTGCGCAGAAGCTTTACAGGAACTTTCCAGTACAAATACTGGTCTAGTATGTGTAGTTCATAGTTTGTGAGCCTTGGTGCAGGAGTAAAGGCGAGTGACAAGCGCAGTGCAATTAAAATTCATGCAGTAGTTCTGCAGATTACTGCAGTGTGGCAGGCTTCTCCTGAGAAGAATGGAATTGCTGAGCTCATGTATTAGTGTGTGGGTATATATTAGGGCAAAGGCAGCATGATCTTTGTGATACATGACTTCTCCTTAAACTCTGTGCAAGCCTATTGCACTATCATAGTTGTGCACTCGGATTTTTAGATGATCTTGGTAAGAATCCATCACAGTCCCTCTTGTGGATGAGTAGTTGGTTAAAAGGCGGGAAACAGGAGGTATCAAATACGGGCAGCTTTCACAGTGAGAGAAAGCTCCTAATTGGGATTCCCATGTAATCACTCAATATAGTCATTAATGATCTGCAAAAGAGGTTGAATACTGAAGTGACAGAATTTGATGATGATGGAAACTTCCTCAGGAGGATCAAAACTAAAACTTCTGGAAGAGTTGTAAAAGGATCTTGCGCTGTAGGACTATTGCGAGATCAAGTAACACCCGGTGCTGATGAATATATAAGAAGTCGGCCTAAGGCGGGGAATAGGCTTGGCTCCCTGTGCAGTGATTGACTTTGTTAGGTATTACTACTCAGGAAATGATCATTGCCCTCCCTGAAAGCATGAACTCAAAGTTTATCAGTGATCAGAAAGACAAGCAGCATGCTAGAAAGTTTTTTAGGTGGTATTTTTTTAAAATAAAATAAAATAAAAAGTTGAGTGCTGCATAAATTCCAGGTCAGCCCATCTCTAAAGGAGTATAGTAGAAGTAGATAAGGACAAGGAAGGATGAAAAGAAATATTGAAGGTATAGAACTGTTCTCATGCAGCAAATGGAGCGTTCATCTTTTACATAAATTTGGGACAGGATAATTTGGAGAGGGGAAAAGGAAGAAATACAGTAACCTGTAGAATTATGAATGGTTGAGGGATGATTAGCAGCGAATTCACCAGATAAAGCAGAACAAGAATTGAGTTGTGTTTTAGCTTTTCCATCAGTTAGTAGCCAAGTGAAAGAGCAGGTGCTGTCTGGGATAATGGACATGTTGGTCCAACCCATCCAACAGTTCATCTGTTGTCCTTGTTCTCGTCTGAAGCTGGGATACCCCTCTGAGAGGAACAGCAGTCCTTAAAGCAGCAATTCACGAACTCTGAAGCAGCCCACAGCTGCCGGTCCTCACTTTCCCACTCCAACCTTTTACTTTTTTTTTTTTTTTTTTTTTTTTGCTTTTTAATTGAGGGCATGTAAAGATGATAATAAAGTGTATCCTGTTATTTAATATGTTCCTGTGGACTTCCTGTTGTATAAGCCTCGTGGATAAGGTATTGGAAATGTGGATGTAAAGCATTGTCCGGGCCTCTCTTTCCCCCTCCCACCTTTTTTTTTTTTTTTTTTTTTTTGCTTTTTAATTGAGGGCATGTAAAGATGATAATAAAGTGTATCCTGTTATTTAATATGTTCCTGTGGACTTCCTGTTGTATAAGCCTCGTGGATAAGGTATTGGAAATGTGGATGTAAAGCATTTGTCATTTTCCAGTGTTACAAAAAAAAACCCACCACCACTAACAACTTCAGTGATTAACTGAAGTGACAACTTTTTGCATCAGCCTTAGCAGCTGTCCAGGAGGGTTCCTCAGGCACAGCAGTCACGTCTTCCCCAGCTGCCTTGTCGACTGCAGCCTGAGATAGGGCCAGTCAGATACCTGTTTGTTTCTCTCAAAAGTCATTCTGAAATTATTATTTAAAAAAACGACAAGCCTGCGTGGCAGAAAGCAGTAAGATGATATGAGTTAAAACTTTCTGTTGCTTAAGTAAGCACTTCAATGAATTAAAACTTGCTAGCAATTTGTGTCAGTAGTGCACTTAGGGTAGGACAACCAGGGCCAGAGTTCCACATTTTGTGGAACATGTGACATTTTGTTGCCTTTTTTTACACCTTCATTAGCTACTACATAGTATTTTAAAAGAGATTAATATGTGTATTAATTGACCTGTAGGAATGTGAACGTTGAGCTAGGAATTTTAGGACAATGGTGGTGTTAATCTTTTATTTCTTTGCCTAGTTCAGCACTAGATTGCAAAGTCCTGGTTTCAGTTCTTACGCTGCAGCTCTGCTCAGGAGATCTGAGGCACTTAGTGATGACGTTTACGTTGTATTTTGTATTATGTAATTAGAACTTAGAACAAAAATAGTATCTTTGTACTTACATTTTGAGATTAATTATGTAAAACTTTTCATGTTAACCTTTTGGTCTTCTATCTCCTTTACTTTGAACTTCTTTAGAGGACAGTGAATTAAGAAGAACTTTGCAGTCTTTAGCCTGTGGTAAAGCACGAGTATTGATTAAAAATCCAAAGGGAAAGGATGTAGAAGATGGAGACAAATTCATGTTTAATGGTGACTTCAAGCATAAATTGTTTAGAATAAAAATAAATCAAATCCAGATGAAAGAAACAGTATGTATTTTCCTATTTTTCTTTTTGCATTCATCCTGGCTAAATTGACTGTTAATCTGTATGTCCCACCTGAACAGATGGAATTTCCACCTTTGCTGCTGTAACTTTTGTGTTTGGAAAAAGAGGTTTTTCATCTTTTTAGTAATCAGAATGAACAGGGCTCTCAGAGGCAACAAGATTATGAATCTTATTGAAATTCAAAAAAAAAATTTTGGGGGGGGAGGGGGAGTTCCTTCATGCATTTGTACCTGTTTCTTAAACTGATACCTTCTTGCAGCTGTCCACCTTAAGTTTTCATGGTATAGATCAAGTTGGAACTGTAGTAAAATTCACAAATCAAACACTGCAGTATCATTTTTTCCTTTTTTCTTTTATATATAGATATATAGAGAGCGTATAAGAAAGTTACTGAAATAGGATTAACTATACTTTTGCAGTGGATGTTTTTGCTGACTTAAATTCCAGTGCTTGGCATCAGCTGACATGTTTTAATTAACATTCTTTCTGTTCTGCCTTTTCATAATCAAATCCCTAAAAGACAAACCAGACTTAAGCAGTTTTCTACAGAATAATATTGTATTTGGGCTGCCATGTGTTATATATATATTTGTAATATTAAATGAATTCTTAAGGTTTTCTAATAGAACATTGATTTAATATATGTGACTTTTTTTTTTTCCTTTCCATTGTCCTCATCTTTGACTTGCTGTAGCAGTGTGCGTCAGAATCTCTTAGTTCTTGGTGTACAATGATGTGTATGTCTGTCTCAAAACCAGACATGAATAAATATGTTTTTCTTAACTGAAATGATTAACTACAGATTTTTTTTAAAAATAGCATTAAAAAGTGATGTGATGTGTGGTGTTGAATTGTTCCTTAGGTGGAGGAACAGGTCAGCACAACTGAAAGAGTATTTCAAGATAGACAGTATCAGATTGATGCTGCTATTGTAAGAATAATGAAGATGAGAAAGACGCTTGGTCACAATCTTCTTGTTTCTGAATTGTATAATCAGCTGAAATTCCCAGTAAAGGTATCTGATTATGTTTTTATTCAAACAATCCTAGAATTATCCAGAAATATGCGGTATTCTTTTCAGTTCCGTGAGAGTTAAGAAATCTGAGAAGTAATATCTGAATCAGATGTAAAGATGCAAGTTTTAAAATGAGTGCATTAACAAGTGAGCCACAGGATCAGTGGTTTTTTATCCAGAACTTGTTGTTGGATTTTTGATTTTTTTGTTGTTGTTGTTAACATGGTGTATTTCTTTAGGAATAGGACTGCTAAAAATATCTTTAAATAAAATATACAATCTTACCTTTGCATGTATATTGTTAACTGTTACTAATCTCACCTTTTCTTGTAGCCTGGAGATTTGAAAAAGAGGATCGAATCTCTCATTGACAGAGACTACATGGAGAGAGACAAAGACAACCCCAATCAGTATCACTATGTTGCATAATGGAGAAGAAGTCCTTTTATATTTAAAAAAAAATCAAGAAAACAACAAAATCATCCAAATATATCTTCTGAATACTGAATACCTATGCTGTGCCAGACTTTACTATTAGCAGATTTCAGGTTGATATGTATTCCTCAGCCAGCTGCATGCACTGCTATGGAAGAGAAGCAAAATGATGCATTAATTGGATCACGCTAGTCAAGACTCCTTAGTAATTTTAAATGTCACATTTTTCTTTTAGTTACTTCTTTTGTTCTTTGGGATTCTTGGAAAATTTGTTTCTACAGTTTTGTTCAGTGTCATGGAAATTGGATGGAAAGGTAAAATTACCTATGTGAGAAATGCTTCTGTGATAGATGCAAGTCTGGTTTATTCAGGTGTGTGTTCCTGACTGTGCATCCATGGAGACCCTATATGCTGCATTCTTTAGCCACGGTGACAACCTGGGTAACTTTTTTAAAACCCCTTAATTGAGGAACACTTATGTACAAGCAGTGTTGTTGAAATACACTGAATTTTTGAAATTATGCACCATGAATACTCTTAATCTTGTATTCATTCAATTTTCTTTCAACTGATTATGAACTTCAGTCTGGTTTGGATAAATCAGGTTTTGAAGTGAGATCCTTGAAGTGCCAAGAGGACAACTGTGTTAATGTGTGTAGTGAGCTGTCTGATTATTTAGCTAAGATACTTACTTGTGGATTATGATTTTATTACTACTTTGCTGGTTTGGATGGCAATTAACAATTGAGTCAAAGAGGCCCTACTTCATTTTAGGGCAACTAGTTTTTATCACTGTTCATATAATTGCCGTAAATTTAGTTTTGCCTTTAAAGTTGCATACAGGGAAACTACTGTACAGTGTGCTCCACTTAAAGATTAAAAAAAATGAAATAAAAGATTTTTTTAAAAAATAAAGACTTTTACAGTCTTGATGTTATGAAAGCATAGTTTTTGTCTTGAATGACTAAGGCTTTTGTGAGTACTTTGTTACATATTGTATATATGTAAGTTGATTTGAATTAAAGAATGGAAGACATTGTAGATCTGTTAGATAATTGTAATTAAAAGGAAGATACTTTTGTGGTAATACTTACAAGCTGCTGCTTATTTTCAGGATTTGCATAAAAGTGTGTTTCATTCTGATAAAGAGCTACCAAAGGAGTTTTGATCATGGCATAATGAGAATTTAACTGAACAATATTTTCTTGAGATACCTTGCAAAGTTTATGTAACATGGGTATTGTGCATCAATTAAAAGGCCACCATCTCTTCTTAAAATAAACACTGCTAAAAATTGACATCTCATTAGTTTACGTATCAAGGTCCTTGTTTTGTCATCTGATGTCATTAATTGTATTGCATTCTTTTGAATTATTTTCAGTCCCTTTGTGTTTAGAAACTAAACATGTGTTTAGTTTACTGTATTTAAAGCATATTTAATATTGTAATTTAATGTAGACTTATTTTAATATTTGAATCTTGAGTTAATTCAAATAAAAACTTTGATGCCTATTGAGTATTACTTCCTCAGGCTTTGCAAATGTTAAGTGTACGTATGCGGTGTGTTGCTTGGAGTTACATTATATTATTGCAGTTGTTTATAACACTCGCTGCATATGAAAACTGATCAGCTCCATCTTACTTGCATCTGCTTTGAAAACAAAATGAAGTATATGCCTCACTGAAGTGTAAGGGGCAGAGGCTTCATCCACACAGAAAGTTAGCAGTAGCAGACCCTTACTGGGTTGTGTGTGTGTGTGCTTTATGTATATATTACATATATATATCAACAAGCTAATATGTACTCTGTTCCCTCTATGAATTCATAACTTCCTGGTTCAGGCATTTTAAATTTCAGCCTCTTGGCTAAATTACTATTTGATTATACCAATTAAAACTAAGTTGTTATCTGAACAGTGGAAAATGCAAGGCCTGTGCATGATGTATATGTCTGTTGTGCTATGGTGTACTTGTCCCCTTCTTGCTCTCTGCCCTGCCACTGTACTGACTTGAGCAGCAGTGTTGGGGAGGGCTTTTCTCATTAGTGCTACCTGCTTGTGGGAGCAGGGGTCTTGTTTCTCCTTCATCCACCTGCTGATTTCTGCCCACCTTCTCACCCTCAAACCATTGCTGAAGATTTTACTTCTCTAAATTGGTCTGAAACTGGCTTCTGAGGCCCTGGGCCACGTCATCACATGACTCTCTCAAGACCCTGTTTTTAATCTGGCTTCCTCATATTCCTCCTTCTAGGATTTTGTACATGCTAAACCAATAAGTAAGAGGGTTAGAAGTAGTACATTATTATTTGATTTACCAGTTAGTATGGTAATTATTATTTCCTAGTTAAAATAGCTGCATTTAATTGCTTTTTGACAGCTGGTGATAGAATCTAGCTGAGTATCCTGTCCTAATCGGTGTGTGTTTGATGCTCCCTATTTGGTTCACTATCTGTGGGTGTACTGTGCCTACAGGGCCAAGGTGCCTGTATTTTATTTATTTATTTATAGCAGCATGTGGTAAAGTAATAGATTTTTCTCTGCAGTATATCCATGTTCATTGGAAAGACTCTTGAAGTGCCTGGATCTTGGCAACGCAAAATCCTTGAAACAGACTGTACAGCAAGGTCTATGCAAGGACCAAAAAAAAAAGGAAGAAAGCATAATCAGTCTGGGATACAGGTGTGGTACTCTCCTAAATCCTAACAAAAGCTAATTTTTGGGCTTAATTCATTCTGATTTATTCAGTGTTTCATCTACTAAAAATGAAACAAAAACGAAACCTACCTACTTCCCACATGTGATGCTCAGTCATCTAACTAAAGCTTGCTGTGAAATCTGACAGGCTGTGGGCATGCAGCTTAAGGGCTGACAGTTGTAGGGGTCAAGTCCTGCAATTTAAGCTTTCCTTCCTCACCACCACCACCACCCTTGCTGCCCACAGCTTGTGTCCTGCTTCTCCTAGGTTAGTACTTGAGCTGCCACTGCGAGTCCTTTATTTGCACTGGAGTTTTCCATATAACTCCTTTGTCCTGCTTCAGATTCTGTGTTCAAAATCTTCCTTTTGTGTGGGGGTGCATGCACTATATATTTGGGAAAAAAAACTTTCAGGCAACTGTTTTAGTGTATCAATATTGTATGCATATAGACTTATCTGTACATTTATGAGCTTGGACAGCTGTTGAAGGGAGAGTAGACTCTGCTGTCATACCGGTTATCTGTTCCGAGCGAGTCTCTTTGGACAGCAAATAACTCTCTGAAGTCAGCTAACAGCAAAAGGCTAAAGAAAAACGGGAGTAAATTCTTCCCTGGTAGAAGTTTTCAATCTGTATGTTGTCCTCCATGCTGGTATTCTGCCTTAACGCTGCAGCACAGCATGTGCTGTGTAACTTGCCTCCTATATCTCCTGGCTATTTCCCACATTCTTACCCAAATGCAGCCATTGTGCATCCCTGGCTCCCCAATAATCTGGAACTGTATCGGTGTTGATCAGCCAGCACCTCAGTGAAGCACAGGGTGCAAGTGCTGTGTACAGGCTTCCCTTCCCTTCACGGCAGTGCTAACCTGCATCTTTGTGCTCTCTACACTATTATTTATGGCATTTTTAATGTTATTGAGTAGTGAGGCAAGTGTCCAATAGGGTTGCACAAGATTCAATTCATTAGGAAAACAGGCTAACAATTACTAAATAGTACTTTTACTGAGTGACAGAGCTTACTACGCAGTCATTCTCTGTGCAGGACCTAATATTTTTATATACTCATTTTATGCTATAACATTGTCACTTACAATAAATTTACAGATTTATAATGTTATTGAGTAGTGAGGCAAGTGTCCAATAGGGTTGCACAAGATTCAAATCATTAGGAAAACAGGCCAACGATTACTAAATAGTACTTTACTGAGTGACAGAGCTTACTATACAGTTTCTACACCACTGTCATTTTCTGTACAGGACCTAATGTTTTTATATACTCATTTTATTCTATAACATTGTCGCTTTACAATAAATTTACAGATTTAATTGGTGGTAATCCAAGCATCAA